CCCCAAAACCCCAAAACCCCAAAACCCCAAAACCCCAAAACCCCTTTAACTATTTTTCTATTGAATAATCAAGCAAGATAATTAATTATCACCATCTCCCTCATCAGGCATATCAGAAGTCCAAAGAGTGAGGTTGTCTCTCAGAAGCTGCATAATCAGTGTACTGTCTTTGTAATATTCATCACTCACATTATCAAGGCCGCTAATAGCATAATCAAAGGCATCCTTGGCCATATCGCAAGCCTTCTGTCTCTCCTGAAGAATTTCATAGTAGAAGACAGAGAAATTCAATGCAAGTCCAAGCCTGATAGGATGGGTGGCTTCTAAATCTCTTTCAGCAATTTTATGAGCTTCCTCATAACTCTTCTTAGCTTCCTGAGCGGCAGAATCCTTTTCAGATGCCTTAGCAAACTCAGAAATGTATCTATGGTAATCTCCTTGCATCTTGAAATAGAAAACTCTTGCTTCTGAATCAGAAGTGTTTGGAAGAAGGTGCCCATCTAACAAATTGAGGATATCTCTGCAAAGCTCGAGAAGTTCGTCTTCAATCTGAGATTTGTACTGTCTGACCTTTTCGACATTTTCCTTTCCTTTCTCCTTCTTGCTTTCCTTCTGCTCAATAGAGTTGAGGACTCTCCAGGCTGCTCTTCTGCTACCAACCACATTTTTGTAAGCAACTGAGAGAATATTACGTTCTTCGAGGGACAATTGGTTAGATTCTTTCCTTGAAAATGCTGTGGCGTATTCAACCATTTCTATAAAAGCAAGGTTATGCAAAGAGGTTCAAAAGTTCCAGCTTTTGGGACTACTATCCTCTATATCTAGAGGATTGTGAACTATAAAGGGACTGACCATCATAACGTTCAGCCTGCTCAGCTAGCTTAGCAAGGTACAATAGATCCTCTTTGCTCTCTGCCATTTTAAAATCAAGTGATTATTTATTATTTAAATTCTCTGACAATCTTTATTGGAATATTCGGGGTTTTGGGGTTTTGGGGTTTTGGGGTTTTGGGG